GTGAGTTTAGCATGCGGCAATGATGTATTAGCATATGGCGAAGGGGAATTAGCTTGTGGCCATGATGTAATAGCAAATGGCGAAAGTGTATCAGCATGCACTGAAGGTGAATTGGCAGGCGGCAAAGGTAAATAAGCATGGGGCTATGGTGTATTAGCGTGCGGCGTTAGTGTATTAGCATGGGGGATGGTAAATTAGCATGGGGCAATGGTGAATTTTCCACAGCAGCTTTATTCTGCTTTTCCTCAGGTGACAGCCGCAGTTTTAGGAAGTAGAATTATGTTTCCAAAAAATAGATTTCAGCTGAGAAGATGCTGCCATAGGCGCTGTCAGCCGCAGCTCAACAACAAACACTCAGTGTTGTATTTGGGTGTGTGTGTCTGTGTGTCAGCATGTGAAAATGTGTTTCCTGAGTTTTTGTTGAATGCTGCTGACAGCATGAAAGACAAGTGCAGAAAACCTTCCAAATCCAGCCTCCTCCATCGTGCACACAGCTGATGATGATGATGGATGGTGGCAGGAGGATGATGGAGAGATGAAAGAAAACAACACAGAGGAAAGTTTGACATAGAACGAAGACAAGCAGCAGGGAAAGGGAAAAAATACAGCAAGCTTTAGAAAAGGACATCTTTCGATATAAAAGAGATGCAGATCTAAAAATGTATATCTATATCTATATCTATATATATATATACACAGGTATTAGAGTGTATGTATTCATGCTCAGAATATTCAGTACTGCCCTATGGTTCTGTTCATACAGACCCAACAATGGCGTACTAGAACAAATACAACGTTGTGGTTTGCTTTTTTTCTGGATTTACGCGACATGTTTGCAGATTTTATAGCATCCAGTAATATTATGCTCTGCTGAAGCTGCAGAGATTGGAGGAGCGGAGCCTCTGGTAGAGCTGCACTGCAGGCAAAGCAGCCTGATGGTTTGGGCAGATTGTAACAGGTCCATTTATATCGATTAATATACAGATAAGCATCTTTGAATTTTAAATAATTTTAGAACTGATTAAACGAAGTATTTTAAGAATCTGCCTCCAGCTGTGACTGAACTTTGCTGTTTGGAACCACTGAGTTCAGTGGAGAAATGAAGGTGGACCGGACCAAAAACCCAAACTCTGGTTCTGTCCTGCAACATGACAGCTCTGAGGTTCTCCTTCCAGACTGGACTTGGAGGTTCTCGAAGCCACAAAAGGGTTCTGACCCTCATGTTATGAAACAGGCCTAAATCACCATGGTAACCAATGGCTCCCAGGTCCTGAAACGTCAGAGTCATACCTGGAGACATAAACTGTCTGAGAAATGAAATGAGGAAGGATAAATTGAGGGTTTGTCTGTTTTAGAGGAAAAAGGACAGAACACTGCAACAGCTGAAACAGAAGGAGCGCTGACTGCAGCGCCACCTACTGGAGGGTAAAATCACCCGTCCTTTAGATTAATACTGGATAAAAACACTGAATGTGTTTGTACCAGCCTGGTCTTTACACCGTTTCACTCTTCATCTTTACAGTTTGTTAAAGCCAGCAGGGAGGGAGACTAGTTCTGAGGAGATGAAGGAGTCGGGCGTCATTTTGCTTCATAAAAGTTCGGACTGGAGGCAGAGAATAGATCTTCTATTTTAAGCTTCTTTCATATGTTCTTGATTGAACATGATCAGAGATGATCAGTAGAGGCTGCTGCTGTTTCACTGCGTGCTTTCAGAGCAGTAATAACCTCTCTCCACCCTCTAAGGTGCTGTGTTGCCGTGGTAACGCTGCCATTCGTCCTGCAGTCGGGTAAACCGCCGTGTCCTTGACCCCACCAGGGAAGCAAACACTGCTGATTAAATGTTATATCACTAAATGAGGAGGCTGCCGTTTATTTCAGCAGCACTTTTACCAGAAATCATAACCAGAACATTGGTTCTGCTTTCCTCTCTGACCCGTCCAGTTCTGATGAGATCCTCACAGAAACCTTGACCACCGCAGGAAGCTCCTCGTGCTGGACCACAAGGATCCTCAGCTGCCCTGGAAGCTCTACAGAACCATCCTGGTTTCAGTCACCAGATCCTCATCTGGTTCTTGCAGTTCATTGAAGTTTTCAGCCTTTGGTTCTGCTCACACCAGAGCATTTTAATCAGGTTTAGACCCGGACTTTGACTAGGCCATTGAAGCTTCTTGATTTATTTTCAGCCATTCTGTTTTTACTCATTGTCCTAGTGGTCAGGGTCAGCTCCTCCAAAAAGTATTTAGTGACTAAATTGACCTACAAGGGACCTTAATGTCCTCATTAGTCACCTCGGGGGCAACAGTGACCTACAGATGTTGAAAATAAAACCCTCTCTTTCTTTCCTTAATCCTGTTCAATTAACCAGGTGATCAGGAAGGTGGTAAGAAGTTGAAGCAGGATGCTTCCTATCATGGATCCTCTAGCATAGGGACCTCCTGACGTCCCTTTCTGGCACTAAGGAGCTATTTGGTTTCTCACACTGCTCTGCATGACAGGGCGTATAGGCACTGCCTGACTCATCTGTCATGTTCACTGGGGCTAAACAATTTATTATTTATTTATTTCAAAAATCAAACACGGTAGCTAAAGCTAAGACTTTACTGTTGCTGTTGTGTGGAAAAAAAAGAAAATGAAAAATCCACTGGATTTTGTTTCCAAGTTTGAAGATATTTCGCTTCCCATCCAAGAAGCTTGTTCTTGGATGGGAAGCGAAACGTCTTGAAAGTCCAGTGTATTGTTTTTAATTTTCTTTTTTTTGAATGTTTATGACCTGGATGACTGAGAATCTGTGTGCTAGCCACAATTTTCTACTCCTTTCTGTGTGACAACACACCACTTTAAGAGTATTACTGCCACCTAAAGGGCTTGAGTGGGAAAGTCACTCTGGTTACATTTAATGGAACCAAACTGAGTGTGAAATAATTGCCTTTTGTTAAATTTGATTATATTTTAGATACAGTTAATTGCCCAGGCTTACTTACTATTCAGGATCTTATTCTTACTTTTGACCCCATCAAAAGCAAAGGAGGATGGTTAAGGAGCTACCTTTAACACTAGTGGGGCTGAGGGTAGAGATGTCCCGATCCAGATTTTTGCACTTGCGATCCGATACCGATATTGTTTTTGGACTTCCGATCCGATACCGATACTGGCCGATACCAACCTATCCGAGCATGTATTTAAGTTTAAGTTAAAGTATTTAGCCTTAGTTGTAAGACTCATGTTGAAAAGGGTTTTAGTACTCTTGATAACATCTAGCCAGCTGAATTAGGTGAGATTGAATAAAACACAATGCTTGGTAACAACAAACTTACCTGTTTATTAAGAGATAAACACAAACTGGACAAAATTATGAATAGCAATCTGAAATTGCACAGTGAACAGTAAAACCGTAAACAGTTAAAGGTGCAAGTATTACTGTAAGTTTTAATAAAAATGCAAAACAGGGAAACACTGGCGCAAAATAGTGGAATGGATCGTTTCAATAGGCGAAACTGGAAAATACGGACCGGATTTTTTTTTAAAAACTGGATCGGCAGTCTGGATCGGCATTTTACATGCTTTGCCGATACACATTTTTTTGCCAATGTCGGCGTCCCGATCCGATACCTTGCCTTCAAACTGCATTCAGAACTAAGAAGCATTTTAGATGAGAGGATAAAACGTATATAGGAAGCAGTAATAAATGGATGATTTTCATTGTTTCTGGTAAATCCAAACATAAATCAAAGGCTCTTCCCTGTTCTTCTGCTGCGTAGCTCAGTCTGCTGCTCTCCTGCTGGTTTCCAGTTGGCTCTTAGTGGGAAAAGGTCAGATGGAGACGGGCAGCTCTGCAGGCGCTCTGCCTTCTGATCAACAGAGCTGCCTCTCGTCTTTTTAACAGGAATAAAGGTTATAAAGAATGACAGGCGGCGCTCCTGGCTCCTCCTGTCACCACAAACTGATATTCAGAGATATTTGAAGCTCCTTTCATTCGTGTTACGCCTCCTTCCCAATTATTGCTGTATTTTCTTATCTCAGCCTCCCGTTCCCTGGAGGCAGAGCGTCAGAGAGGCACAAAGCTGAAATGACATTAGTATGCATCTCCTGTGCAGGAATACTTTGTGAGATTTGCAGAACTAGGTCACTATCGCTTCAGTTTCTGACATGAAAGGTGTAAAGCAGCAGGAATATTTGCTATAATTACACCTCCTGTAAAAATACAACTGAAACTTCAGTCGGTTAGATGAAGGATAATGCTGCCATTTAATGTTCATTTGGTTTAGATTGCTTTAAATGGGTTTATAGTGGTGACCTGTGAGGTCACTTAGCATGATGTCTTTAAGTCAATGATTAAATATAAAAAGTTCAGGTGAATCTGAGGTGATGGTAACTTATTAAAAAATCTAGTCCTAGTTTAGTCTTCGAAAACTTTGCCTTTGTTTCTGATTTTAGAAAGTAAGAATGATAAATGATCATGAAATATTCCAAGCCTTTGACTCCTCTAGTTTAGATGATCATGTTAAAGCTGATCAACCTTGACTGGATAAGCTTGAAGTAGATGCCGGGATCTCAAAATGAAATAAAACTTAACATGGTCCAGTTCTGGTTCTCTTTATCAGATGGTTTTAGACCATTTGTGGATCCAACTGTGATTAATGGTTCTGGATGTTCTGATCCAGCCTCCATTCCCAATGAAGTCAAAGTTGTCAAAGCTGCAGTTCTTTACTGGACTGGACGTCTTCCTTCCACCAAACTTTCTATGAATGCACTTGGTCAGAGCAGTGACCCCTTTAGCTCCTCCTACTCCTCCTCCAATCAGCAGTCCCCTTCTGACCCAGGCTGAATAAGTTTTTGTTTTTCTTTCTAAGTGTCAGAATTCCAAGAAATAATAGCTGGAAATATTTCCCTCTTTGTGTGATAATTCCATGTATGAAGGTACATGTAGTTCTAAAACATCAGTTTTACTTTTTCAATTCACCTTTCTCAGGATTTTCACATGTTTGGAGCTCTGGCTGAATGTTTATAGAGAGAAATTTATTGAGATTTACTGAAAGCAAAAAGCAGGGTTCAAAGAACATTTGAACAAAGTCTGTTTAAAAAAATGGAACAAATACATTTACTCTATAATCTTTATGGAAACGTTGAACCGATATTTATACATTTGATTTTTTTTTTTTTTTTTTAAGTTTTTTCACTTTCATATTTGATTTTCTCAAATATTTATTATTTTTCAAAGTTCTTTTTTACTGTCTACTTTCTCAGATTTTGTCTCGAGATCTTAATTTTTCTCCCAAATTTTATTTTCTTTTTGTTATATTTTTGTGGATTTTGTTTTTAATCCAAATTGATTTATTATTATTTTTTTTTATTGCGTTCTTTTTAAATCCTGTCATAGATTTCATCCTGTGCTCTCCCAGGTGGTCTGTGTCTGGACCAATAGAAATGCTGTAGGCAGAGCAGAATCGTTTCTATTGGTCAGCGCACAGCCAATCCAGAAGTGTAGAGGGGAAAATCTGGAAAACAGGGTTTGAAAATGAAGCAGTTCCTAATGCTCCTTACACAGCTTTTAAGATGAAAAAAAAATAAAAAAAATAAAGATATAAAATCTAAAGGATTAAAAAAAAATGGAACTCTCTTAATTGAAATGTTATTTTAAAATCATTCTTTCTTTAAATGTCCTTTTATGAAACGTACCAGTAATATTGGAACAAATTTCTCTCCATATATGTTTAAATGTTGGGAAAATGTTTTTGGTAAGAAGTCCGTTTTATACCATCAAGAATTTGATTCTCCTTAGTTTTGTGAGGTTTGACCATTTCTGGGAAGGAGGGACAGAAGCATCTCAGCATCTAAACCGACGCAGCAAAACCTCCTGGATGAATTTTTTGTTTGACTGCAGCTGCAGGAATTCTGACTCATTCAGATTTTGCCCCTTTTCTCTGTCTTGCAGGCACCAGCCCACTGGACAGCCCCCGCAACTTTTCCCCCAACACAGCTGCTCACTTCTCCTTCGTTCCTGCACGGAGGTGAGCTGCTCATACACTTTCCTTGGTGGCAGAACATTTGGATCAGACCCGTTTTAGCTTGGTTCAGAGAAAAGTATCTGCTTGGTTCAGAGAAAAGTATCTGCTTGCTAGAGGATGTTTCTGTGACAGCTGAAGGAGATGGTGATAAATGGCGCCCAGATGGATGGGCTGTTCTCCAGGTTTCACTCTGTATGTCAGTCATTCAGGCTGGAAGAATAAACTCCCGTCTGCTCGTAAAGCTCCCACTGCTGACATACTTTTTTTTGTTGTTGTTTTTACATCAAAACCAGATTACAAAAGTTAACATCAACTGTAAATAAGCCTCATTTCCTCATTTGTCCCCCCGGATGTTTCCACGGCAACAGCATGAAGCATCTGGTGTTGGTGCAGCAGAGGGAATGAGGGTTAAAGCAGGTTTAGCTACTGTCCTTCTGCTCATTTCTGGGACAACAGCGACCCCCAGTGGTGGAGCTCCATATTACAGGAAGACGGCCAATGTCCTGCTGTTCATTTAGTCACAAACTGAAGCCAGTGGCTGATCCTGGATCAGAATCCTAGATCCTGATTCTGCATCAGCTGTCTGAACCCGGTGCAGCCGGTGTTGGTCTGACAGGATGAATGATGCGTAAATACCAACCATGTCTTGTTTTCCTCACAGCCACGGACACAGAGCTGACAGGTAAACTCCCCCACCTCCCTTCACCCTGCTACTGCCTCCTCCCTGTCTGAGTCTCTGCATGGCCGAACCTTTTCTCCTTCTCCATGAATTATTGTGGTTAATCCAAAAGAACCAAACCTCTGCTCTCTAACAGCAGCAGTGATTTCAGGAAATCACCTGGAAAGACCTGAGCTTGAGAACCTCTGATTCTACAGGACCTGCCCGTCTCATCCCGCCTGTGCTCTGAATCCTGTCTCCTGTCCTTCAGCCTGAAGGTCTCTGAAGTCTGGTTTAGAGGAGCAGAGGAAAATCTCCAAACGTTCTCTCCAAATTTAGTCTCAGTTTTCCCCCTGCTTTAGTTTGACATTGAGTGTTTAATCCTTTGGTGAAAACAATCCAACTCCAGATCTGTGTGTTTGTGGCTCCTTGGATCCGATGCCTCACACAGAACCGGGTCAGAATCTCTGCTCCTCTCAGACCTGCAGCTTCATCTGGACACATCTGCATGTTTCTAGCAAAGGGTTCTGGGTTTTCTGCTGCTGCTAGAAGGACCTGGTTCTGGTTCTCTCTGCAACAAGAATTCCTCTGAAGGAACTCCTTCAGAACCGGCTTGTGGTCCAGTTCTTGGTGCTGTCTAACTTCAGGCTTAGTGTCTGCAGAACCCGAGCTTCGGTTCTGGTTCTGTGTTTCCTCTTTGGATGGATGCCTTGCTGCTTGGTCTTCTTTCAGTTTCTGTTTGGTTGTAAATCCTGACCCTGATTGTTTGATCCGTGTAAATGTCGTTTCCAGGACCGATGGCCGACGCTGGTCTCTGGCCTCGCTGCCCTCCTCTGGGTACGGCACCAACACCCCCAGCTCCACCGTCTCAGTAAGTGTCTCCTCTGTCCATCTCTGCTCTATAACACAGATCCGCTGTTAGCTTTTATCAGTTTAACAATCACAACAGATTTCCCTCTAATTATCGATTCAATAAACACAATGATTGAGCTTCATAGTCAGCCTCTTTGTTCTAACCCTGATTCTGGGTCCTCTCAGCTCCTCTACTCCCCTCCAGCAGCTGCTCCTCTGTTTACTTCAGTTTTCCTCCACCTGTTTGGTCATAACTCATCTTCTGCGATCGGTTCCCTTCTCCTTTGAACTTTGAACCTTTCATAGCTTTAAAAATTCCTCCTCCCCTCCAGGAACCCCTTTGTTTCCATCTTTTCCTGCTGTAATCTCCTGATCTTCAGCCAGAATATCTCAATGATCCCAGAATAAACCTCAGCTTCATTTAAAAGCTGGACATCCTGCTGTTAAACCTCCACATGGACAGTAGAGAAGATCAGATGTTCTCATAATAGTTCTTCAGAGTTAAAAAGTCAAGTTCTCTGATCTTCTATCTAACCTGCTGAGCATGTGAAGGTTTGAGAAAGTGTAGATAGAAACGATGGAAAAGTTGAGGGTCCTGCTCAGTTCTCCTCTGATGGATTGTTGACGTTCTTCTCAGTAGAGGGAGCAATAAAGTCTCTAACCATCTTACTTAGAGAATTCTTCATTCCTCCGATGATCTTCTGACTCGTTTAGTTTTAATCCTGTATTTTCGAGTTTCTAAGCCCTGAAACCAGATGTGTCCCGTCCAGGCCGTAGCTCAGTCTGCAGCTGCTCCCCGTCCTCCCCGTCCTGCAGTAGCTGCTGGTTGTAATCTGTGCTCCCTCTGTGCTCCTCCTCTCACAGTCCTCCTGTTCATCTCAGGAGAAGCTCCACCAGCTGCCCTTCCAGCCCACGCCGGACGAGCTGCGCTTCCTCACCAAACACTTCAGCTCGGAGAGCATCACGGACGAGGACGGCCGCCGCTCCCCCGCCATGAGACCGCGCTCCCGCAGCCTCAGGTAGGACCTCCTCTGGTGGATGGTGAACATGTGCAGTGAGGTGGTTGGTTCTGTAGTTCTCTGAGAACTCGAGTCATACGCAGATGGGCTCCACAGCAGCTTTGTCTTCCATCAAACCAAATTTCTTAAGTGTATTACTTAAAGTCGTAGGGAAGTCCTATTTTAATTTCAAATCATCCTGGCTTAAGCATGTATATAAATGTACTCTTTATCAGACTACATTGTCTAAATTTCTATTTAAAAAAAAATCCTTTCCTTAAATCTGTGTTTTCTTTTCATTATCTTATGCAGGCCAGTTAGTTATATATATGTCAGCTTGTACACCTAAATTCAGCCAATCATATATCAACGGTCATATGTCAATCAAATTTTTCGGTCAAGGCATCTTGATTCATATGTTGTGGCTAATATATGCAACGGTTGAAATAAGAAATAAGAATAATTTCCTTTACCATTGAGTAAGGTGTTCACAGGGATGGACGTCTGTGTCTTCGGCAGGCGTAGAGCTAACAGAACTGGCAGTGTTGCGAGGCAAGGGCTCAAACATGTACGGCTGTAAGCCTTCTACACCAAACCAAGCTTCTGCCGCCCTGGCGTCCTCTTCCACATCTTCGTCCCTGCTTTCCTCCTCTAAATAAAAAATGTATGAAGGAGGAGACTCATCCACGACCTCCGACACAAAACTCTCCTCCTCTTGCATGTTTCTGTCCATAGCGTTCCTTGACAGTGTCTGTTCTAAGTCACCAATTAAGTGCTACTTGGTCCCAATGGAATTTCCCATTGGGAACCTACTAGCGCTAAGTTGCTAACTGGTTAGCAAGATGCTTCCAACAAACCGGCCACAACCAAACTTGCTTTCGAACCTTCCACCACAAAAATCCCACCCCCTTGATAATCGACCAATCACATTCACTTTATTCACTCTTGTAAAGTTGGGCACCAGTCGGGAGAATTCAGAAATGCAACCGTTGGAACGCCCGCTTCCCTACGATTTTAAACTTGATGGATTTGGAACAAAATACAGGACAAAAATAGACAGATTGACCTCATTAGTTTTACTTTTCATCAAGGCACCTGAGCTGCTTTGATGAGCTCTGATAGCTCAGTGTGAAAACAGCTGATACCAGATCTACATTCAGGCTGTTCTTCTACCTCATTTTGTTTAACTCAAACATATAAGAAAAACATGCTTTTTGGTTAATAAAAGCTTGTTTGATTTTTCACGACAATGCAGAGCAGATCGCAGTGCAATTTTATTTTACTACCTAAAAAGAAATAAAATATTTTCATCTACCCCTTGCAATGCACTCACAGACCACTAGGGGTATGCATAGCTCCAGTTGTATTACTGGTGTAGCTGACTCCCCATAGAGCTTACGATCACCTTATTTGTCTTCATCAACCAACCCTTCAATGTCACCCCTTGGAGTGTATCAACAGGGCGGCGCCCTGCCAAAAAATGATAAAACAACGCTACGCTTTTTCTTTTGTTTCTATTTTTCGTGTTTGTAATATAATTACTGATAAGAGATAGACACATTCTGGTTAATGAAGTTAGTTTGGCTAACTGCTTCGTTTCCATTCTAAATCGGACCAACCCGACAGGAGTCTTCCAGTTCTGTCGTCTCTGGTGGGAAACAGAATTAGAACCTGGATGCTCTGTCCCATCCTGGACTGATGATGGAACTGAGACGGTCAGAACCTTCTGCCTGAGGATGAAACTCTGTGGGTTTATGTGTTCAGGTTTAGGCTGCCGTCCGTCTTTCTGACTGATGGCGCCCATAAAAGCAGGTTCAGAGCAGAAAGGTCAGAGCTTTATCTCCTGACTCTCACCTGTCCTCCTCCTGTCCATCACTCCGTCTCTAACAGCTCAGATCTTCCTCTCCTCCTCTTCCTCTCTGCTGGTTCTCAGCTCACAGATCAGATATCACTTCCTCTCATCCTCTGGGATGAAAGGAGGCGTGGATAAGGAGCTCTGAGCTGATCTGATCAAAATCCTGCTGCTCCTGCGGATTGATGGCTGTGTGTGCAGCAGCTCCTCAACCTCTGGAAATAAAACACAGAGAAAGAAACGAGAGCAAAAAGGAGAAAAAGCAAAGGAGATGAAGGATGAGAGACATTATGAAGGAAATAAAGGGAAGAGAGCAGATGATTATGGGGGAGATTATTGGACCGAGGAGGAGCAGAACTAATGATTAGGAGCAGCAGTTTAAGGCTAATTTCATGTTTCTGCTGAACAAAGACACTTTCTGCTTCTCTCTATTTCCCTTCGCTGCTTTCCACCCGCTTTAGTTCTGGTTTGATCCGCTTCATGCTGCTGTTGCCTCATTGGACGGGTCTCCCAGAGGGACCGGACCATTTGTCCGAGATGAAAAAAACAGAGCATGGTGGGATTGGTACCGGACCGGTTCCACAGGTTCTGAGACATTCAGTCTGGATGTTCCTATAAAGGTTCTGATTGGTGTTCAGAGAACCAGAACCAAGAATCCTCCTCCTCCTCTCAGGCTTCCTGTCACGCTCAGTCAGAATCTCATTACCTCAGCCTCTTTACCTCTGTTATCCCCCCCCCCCTTCAGTTTGTCCTCAGTCACTGTCTCCACCAATCAGCTTCCTCCGTTCCGCTCTAAAGGTTTCATGGTTAGTAATCCATATCCTCCATCCCTGGTTCAGAAACCTCAGGTCCGGCTCCCAGAACCGGGTCCAGGCCTGCACCCAAAGACGTAGGCCTCCAGGCCGTTTCTGTTTCCCTAATGAGCCTTTGTCTGACGGATGCTCTCTGAGCCTCGGCTGCAGATTCATTTGAATAACGACTCAGAAGCAGAATAACAGACATGAGGAGAAAATGAAAGGGGCGTCTTGACGCCCTGAGGCGTTGAATCCATCCTACTTCCCGCTCTGCTTTACCTCCATAAGCATCAGACGGAGACGCTCTGGCTTTGATTGATTGTCCTGCCTTGCAGAGTTTAGAGGAGCTGAGCTCTGATGAAGTTCATCCATCTTCACCATCTTTGTCTCCTCAGATAGGCTCATCCTCTTTGCTGCTCCAGGTTCATGTTTCGCCATCACACTCAGAGAGTTCATCAGCTAACAGAGAAACCAGACCAGAAGAGATGATTAAACGGATCAATAGGAAGGAGAAACAGTCAGAACCCAACAGAGGATCGGTCCCCATGAGGGCCGGCTCTCCCCTGAGGTTGGATGTTAGGGTTATGACCAAGGATCTGGATAGACTTTAGGGTTATTTATGCTTTGGTGACATTCTGGGTTAGGCCATAGAAATGAATGGAAGGCAATGTTAATCCCCATAAGGATAGCAAAGAACCGTGTGTGTGTGTGTGTGTGTGTGTGTGTGTGTGTGTGTGTGTGTGTGTGTGTGTGTGTGTGTGTGTGTGTGTGTGTGTGTGTGTGCTACCTGCTGGTGTGATGACGGCCTGTCTGACGTTTTCTGTCATCTTCTCATTAAGCAGCTAATTGGAGTCTGAGCTGCTGATGGATGACTAAAGCATTACCTCATCGCTCTCCTGGTCACATGATCTGCGTTTGTGTGTGTGTGTGTGTGTGTGTGTGTGTGTTGTTGTTGTGTAGATGACTCACCATGGAGCACCTTATTTCTCTTCATTTAACTGTTGGGATTCCTACACGTATTTCCATCTGTTGTATTTTATGAATATATTTATTCTATCAACTTAAACTCCACCTTTTAAAGGACCAGACTGGTTTCAGGATTAATCCGTCAGATCAGATTCAACTGGATGATGTTTTGTTGCTGAAAAGTTTTTTCTTTTTTTATTAGTTTTAATTTGGTACAAAATCCAAGCTAATTTAGGTACTTGGATACTAAAGTTTCCAAACCGGCCGAATGAAAATGCAGCAGGAAAACAAACCCTGTCCAGAACCGGCCAGAGTCTCAGACCTGTTTGTGGGGGCAGAAACCCTGCTAGTGTCACCATGGAGACCCAGAGACTGTACCAGTCCAGTCAGCGGTTCTGGAGTCCGGATTGAGTGCCAATGTTCTCCAAACCTCAGTCAGTGTCTCAGCCAGTGGATCCAAATACTGAGGTCCAAGTAGGTTTCCTGATCAAACCCCTGAAGAAGAAAAGCCCCTCAGACCTGATAAAGCAAACATCCATTTTATTCAGCAGAAGGACAGAGAAACAGAACTCCTGAGGTCCCATCTGCTTCCTCTTATTTGATCAGTTTTATCAATTTGAATGCGTTCATGTATCTCAGGGTTTCCTTCCTACTATTCAGAGTTTGCTGCTACCTGCGTGTTAAAATGGTGTTCACTGCCACATGCATGTTGTTTGTACCAGATGTGCAGAACTGCAGCCCTCCATCCTGCTCATGTCCTTCTGTTTGCTTTCAGCCCTGGACGCTCGCCGGTCTCCTTCGACCACGAGATCATGATGATGAACCATGTTTACAAGGAGCGGTTTCCCAAGGTGGGTTCCGGAACCGGCTGCTGCTTTTTCCACATTCCAACTCAAACTCGGTCTTAGTTCCTGATCAACACCTTCCACATCATCCCCCCATGTGACCCCCCCTTTCTTCCTCCCTCCCCCAGGCCACGGCTCAGATGGAGGAGCGTCTGGCCGAGCTGCTGGCCTCCTCGGCGCCGGATAAGGTCCGCCCGCTGGCCGACGGGGCCCTGAGCTTCATCTACCATCAGCTGATCGAATTGTCCAGGGACTGCCTGGTCAAAAGCAGAGAGGACCTCATCACGTCCAGATACTTCTACGAGCTGCAGGAGAACCTGGAGAAGCTGCTGCAGGACGTGAGTCTGAAGCTTTAATGTCTGAGAACAAGAAATCAGTGGAAGTTATGTCTGATCAGGTTTAGGGAACAGTGTCCTCCTTTATTATTGTTCAACATGATGCTGATTAAAAACTCAGATTTACTGGAAAGAAAATTTCTGGCACTGAAACGCCAGATAATGAAAAACGGAGCATTTTAGCATAAAGAGTTTATTTAACCAATCTAGAAAACAAACACAGAACATTAGAATAAACCTACATTGTAATTAAATAAACTTTTATTGCCATTATTAAGGTTTTACAGTTTGCAATTTTTTAAATATTTTTCTGCTCCAATCCTTAATAATCCTTAATAATATTAGTGTTGGAAAATAAAATCACTGAAACTAGAAAAAAAGAAAAGTTGCAGAAAAAAAAAGTCCAGAAGAAAAACATGTTTAGTCTTTAAAGCCGGTTTTGGTTCTAATCCAATGACAGAACCGTCCCATCGGTCCGTCCTTCGATCGGCTCACGGCATGACGCACCGCTCCGTTAACTCATCGGTGGCGAGCCGTGATGTCACCTCGTTCAGTTTAGGCAGCAGCTGCCTCGTTATGTTTGACGATTTGGAGCGTTTTGGTGTTTTTGTTGTGACAGTCCGGCGCTGACGTCTCTGTTTCCTCCCAGCGGCCTCTGGCTGACCCTCACACACACACACACACACACACGTACGTCTCCATCAGGACACACACTCTGTCTGATTTTAATTTCACACCCGAGCGATCGCTGGAGGCTGACGGATGGTTTACCCCCCGTTGAGCGGGAGGGTTGAAGGTGGGCGGGGAATTGGGGGATTCCTCTGGGCGTGATTGGCTGTTTGGACTCAGTGAGGAGGAGGAGGAGGAGGAGGAGGGTGAAGCCTGTTCGGATGCTTTTGGAGAGTGTGAGAAAGTGGAGGTGAGCACATCTGTCTGGAGGTGCTGCTGCATGATGACATCACCGTTCAGG